AGTCCCCCAGTGGGCACGGTGCTCTTCTCTGCAGAAGCAGGCAGGGTAGCCCAGCTACATTTCTGTTTCTGCTAAGAGGCTGTCACCGAGACCTGATGTCATCAGGACCATCTGCGAGCTGGAATCTGTGGCAAGAGAGGGAGAAAACCATGAGCAGGTTGGGCTGCTGGAGTGCATGGGGCTGTACTCCAGATCCAGGGGTAAGGATGAGGAATTATAGCACTGCAGGGTGGGAAGTGAACTGCTGAGAAGATTGTGAGATTAAGTAGTAACTCAATCTACTCTGGCCACACAGCAGAACAGAATCAATGTTTGGGGAGGGGGGAAGGCAGAGGCAACAAGCAAGAGCCCAGGGTGGGGATATGCATTTGTTACCTTGGCTGTCAAGGGGAACATCAGCTCCGAACCCTCCCCATGTACACCTGCAGGTGATACTGGTTGTGCTGACACAGCCATGCCCTCACTCAGCCCTGCACAGACCTTTAAATCTGCACTCACTGACTGTCTTCTTCAGCTACAGAGACAGTGTCTAGGTTGGATGGGCTGGCAAGCTGCAAGGCCAACCAAACCCACATAGGGTGGTGGTGTTGCCTTCCCAAGAACAGGGAACGCAGCAGGCAAGCAGCCATTTTATGACAGTGGAGGCCTGGAAATCCTGACTTTCCATGCTGCATGAATGGAGGGTTTGTGCAGCCCTCCCCTGCCTGCCTCAGGAAGGTGAGGGCAGCTTGCTGGCTCTGCAACAGCACAGAGCACCAGCCAGGAACACTGTGACTCTCCCCACGCCAAGTGAATCAGCCGCAAGGAGGATGGACACACATAGCAAGTAAGAAACTCAGCAGGGAACTAGTTTCCCATCCAGAAGCCTTTTTAAGCGGAAAAATAAGCTTCCTGGATGTGAGAGGAGAGCTCTATAGTGCCTGTGTGCTTCAGATCCAGAGTCCTACACATTCAAAACTGCTGTGTGCAATCTCTGTTGTGGGGATCAATTTCTGGAAACTGGATCCCAAACTTGGCCAGAGCTGTCAGTAAAGGATTTTTATGATTCTAATAAATGAGGCCCAAAGAGTGGTTGTGCTTGTTTGCTGCTAGTCTGCTATGAGAATTGGGAGAGGAGAAGGACAACTAAAGGTGAAAAAACTCCCCAAAAACCAACAACTGATCCCAAAACCCCAAACCACCAGCATCACGAGGTAAGCATGACAATATACAATATCATAGATACAGACTACTGCTGTCTCCATAATATAGGTTTTTTTCTGTTAAAAGCCACTGCACAGACAGGCTGTGGTACCTGGCTAACCCCTTGTACGTTTGGGACAGAGATAGGAATAGCTGATGCTGTGCAGATTGCAGGAGGTTCTGGAACAGTGAGGAATGACACGAGTTTTGGCTAGGATATCTGGCAAAGACCCCCGAGATCTTTAATGCTCCTGCCCTTGAGTTTTAAGACTTTACACAAAGATTTTGTTCCTGCAGCAACATGGAAAACACCTCTGAGGTACCGTTTCCATTCTTTGCAGCAGCTGCATTGTCCTTGGAGGCTGTTTTTCAAAGCCTGGCTCAGCCCGATGCTATTTAACATGAAGGTTGCATCTGGAGGCTGTCTGGATTCCAGTTCACAGAGACAAGGGACATACTCTGTTCACCAACCCCACCATGAGAGACCAGTGGCTCTGGAAACACCCAACACCCCAGTTCCTGCCTGTCATCCCCTGCCCCCAGCCCAGGTCCCAGAGCTCTTACTGTTCTGGCAGATCCAGGGGTTCTTCTCCCTGGCTGTGACTTCATGAGCCTCTGTCTCCTCCTCTTCCTCACCCTCTGAGAGCAGGTCAGAGATCTGCTGCTGCAGCTCGGGACTAATGTTATTTTCCGCCAGGATGAGTGTCCGTAGTGCTGTGGGGTAATTCTCTACCATGTCCAGCAAGGTCTGGGCGGAGAGATAAACAGGCTGACAAACAGCAGCTAGGCTGAGCAGAAAGAGGTTCAAAGCTTTGACTCCCTGCAAACTCCAGCCCTCCTCCTCTTACCTCTGCCCTCCCTTGGCTTTGCCCTCCCTTTGCCAGGCTTTCTGAAAGCCTGAGGGCTTCCCATCTTTCTATGGGAAGAATTGAGCTTGCATTTCTTGGCTCTATATAAAGAGGAGTGGAGTGCTCTGCATCCTGTTGCTCCCACATACCCAGGCTAGTCCCCTCTTACCACTGTGAGCTGGGACTCTGAGAGGAGCTCCTGTGCTACCAAGCCTTGGTCCCCGTCCGTCCACAGAGCTTTAGCTCTGACCCTCAATCCCAAGTCCAACCCCTTACTTCTTCCAAGAAAACCAAACTACAAATAGAGCTGCATGTTTCTCCCTGCTGACTTGAGGGAGATCCAGGAGCCCTAGGTCAGAGCTGTGGCTTATGAGCTCCTCCGGTGCAATGGGCCAGGGGAAGGCAACAGCAGCCCTGGGTGCAGGGAGGGAAGGGGCTGCATGTGGACTCAGGGAGAAGGATGGAGGTAGGTGTAGATCCTAGGGCCTCTATAGACAGCCAAGACCTATGCCCTTGAGACATCAGTGATGCTGTAGAGTAACTGTAGGCTCTCATACCTGGGCTGACTGGTTGGTAAGTCCTGTTCCCTCCAAGTCCAGAACTTCAAGGGTTCGACTGGAGGCCACAGCTACAGCAAGCATCCCTGCTACCTGGTCACCTGTGGGAGAAGCAAACCGGGGCTGTCAGCAGTGCCTGCCTTCCCTCTTTTAATACCACATGCCCTCATGGGCCTGGGGCTGTCATGGAAACATTATCTGTGTATTTCTGCCATCAGACAACCTCTAAATCTCAGTTACCTTGGGCAGAAAAAAAAAAAAGCTGTTAACTGAGAAAAGAGACAAGGCAAAAGTGCACCATTTTGTGGTTACAGGAGCAGTCACTGATTATCAGGAGGAACATGAAAGAACACAGTGAAATTGTTTTTATTCCCTGAGGAACCATGTCTTCCCAAATCTCCTTCCTACTCAAGGATGTGAGGGCCTTTAACAGTCCATGTAAGGCCTCCCAGATGCAGAATAAGGAGCTGAATACCTCAGTCTAGGGGGAGGTTGCAGCCGGACAGGGGACCCTGCACCAGCTGATGGACTGCCACCCTGGGAAGGGGGCAGACTTTTGGGGGTGGAAGCAGCAGGACTAGGAACATTAAAGATTGATGCTGGTGAAGAGACTCCAGGGTGTTTTCCTGACATTCCCTGGCAAGGGCCAAGATACCGTACAAATGTGACACCTTCTCTTGGGGAAAAAAAAAGGCTGCTGTCAAGTAACACCCTGGGGCGTTTCCTGCCCCCCAAAAGGAGGTATCTGGCCAGCCAGCCAGGGTCTGGAGGGAGGCTCCATTTCCAGATGGGGTGAGGAGGGGAGCACCCTGCTGATGCTCAGGGAGGCACAGCCTGATCTCCTCCTCACCACCTTGCAGTAGAGCTGGAAAGAGTTGGTTTCTATGGCAACCAGTGCCAGGCTCTCCTCCTCCTCCCTACTCCACTGGGAAGAGGAAGGAGGGAGCGCGGGGACATACTGCATCTGCCAAGCCAGCGTCAGCGCCCAGGTCTTCAGGAACAGGGGAGACGTGGAGGGTCAAACGTGACCACAAAGGCAGCGGAGCGGGCAAGGCACAACCTCCTTTCTGCAGCTCCCCACAGGACACGTGGCCACCTCACACAAGCAGAGCAGCGAGGCTGGCTTCCCCCACAGCCAAGGGCGCCTGGCAGGGTGAACTCACTGCTGGGGGTCAGAAAGCACCTGTGCAAGAAGCTGCCCCATCCTGCTGGTGAAGCTCTGTCGCCCTCCTAGAGCTCGGTCCCCAGCCACCCACCAGCACAAATCACACAAACACTGAGAGGCAGGAGTGCAACATCCCCTACGCCTCCTCCCTAGCCCCCCAGCCTACCTAGGGGATTGTAGTCCAGATTCAGTACGCGGAGCTGTGAGCTGTGAGCTACTGCAATGGCTAGGCGTCCCCAGCCTTTGCTTGTGATGCCTGGGTTGGCGCTCAGCGTTAGCTCTTTGAGGCCTGGAGAAGAGAGAGAAGACAAACCAGAGCCTTAGAGTCATGAAAGCAGTCTCAGGGGAACTAGTTCAGCTAAGCAGGGCAGCTTTGAGTCATGTACCCTGTACCCCAACAGGCTAAAGGGTTTGGTTTTGCTCTGACAACTGCCATCACATACTTCATTGATTAGTGAAATATTTCACTGCCTTCAGCAGTGTCCCTTCATTTGCCTATGCTGTGACTTCCCCATTTCGCTGCTCTCCCAAGCTGCGTCCCGCTTACCCTAAATAGCAAACACAACAGAAACAAGTAAGGGGTGGGTGAAGTGACTGACCGGGAGAAGGAGGTGGCATGAGGTGACAGGTTGGAGAGAGGATAACGGGGACAGTAGGCTCTGAAGCCTGCACCAGGGAGGGGCTGCCAGTTGAGGTAACAGCATCAGTGGCACTGTAAGCACACAGAGGAGAAGATGCCGGGGAGAGGAGGTAGAAAGCAGTTTGAAAGTCAGGGGCGAGGGGTGGTGTTACCTCAGCACATGCCAGATCTCAGCTTAACTGGCCTGCTGGCCCTCTGACCACTGAAGATCATCCCCTGTAAAGATCTGAGTCATCATGCTAAGGCTATGACCACCCAACTACACGCTTACAGAGTGCACCCACAAGCAGGGGCAATTCCCAGACACTGACAATAAAGCCAAGTGCTTGGGTGGGGGCACGCCATATATTTATGTATGATCATTACCAACACACAAATGCAAAATAATAAATTCCAAGCCCAAGCTGTCCCTTCCTCCAGTTTCAAACACTCCTGTCATGAACCAGAAGTAATCTGTTGGTCCCTGAGCTCCAAACTGCCAGCAGGACAGATCAATAGCAAAAAGACCATGCTTGCCCAAGGGAACCGCTCCTCTATTGCTTGTCTTTTCTGCTTTACTTAAGTTGGAGAGAGAAATACCTCAGCCCAGGCAAACTATAGAGCCTGCCTCCTCCAGGGCTGAGGATTTACTGCTGCATGCATCTGCTCTATGTGAAAGCTCCACCGGTCATTGTGCAGCCCAAGGCCCCTGGTGCTTACCGGACTTGGCCCCATCAGGCGGCAGGAGCCCACAAATAAGGTTGATGCCTTCATCACCCAGCATGCAGTCTCCTAGATCCAGAGCCACCAGCGAGGGGTGGATGGAGAGAGCCGGGTTGAGGAGGGCCAAGCCTGCATCTGTCAGGGGACTCCCATGGAGGCTGTGCAGGTAAAAGGGAAAATTACTAAGCACCCTTCTTCCAGGGGGTAACTAACCCAGCAGGGAGGGAGAAGCAGACGAAATGAGGATGACAAATCCTAACCCCAGGTGGAGAAAAAGCGCTGGGAAGCCTCTGCTGGGAGGGTCACCTGGCCGCTACGGCAGGCCTCCTCTCCCGGCTGGGATGAGAGGGTGCAGGGGATGCTAGCGGGGCAGGGGCAGCCCCCATCACCAGTGCAACCCAGGGTGGCAGGGCAAGGACGGGAAGACAGGGCCGTGCCCAGCTGACAGAGGCAGAGGTGTCTCCCTCCCAGCTGGGTGAAGGGTGAGGGGTTGCCCTCAGCAACGTCAAGGGCATTTTTCCTCCGACAAGACTCAAAGTCGGGGGCTGGCCCAGAGCTGCAAACCCCCGAAAAACCCGGCCCGGCCCGGGAGAGTGCCAGAGGCACCCCCCGCCCCGCTATACTCACAAGAGGGACTGGACGGAGCGGTTTGTCTTCAGGGCCTCGGCCAGCTGCTTGACTCGGTTGATGTTGGAGACGATGCCCAGGTTGAGGTTGAGTTGGGCCAGGGAGCGGGACTCGGCCGCCCCCCGGCAGACGTGC